AGACAGACAGATAGATAGACAGACAGACAGACAGACAGACAGACAGACAGACAGATAGCATGACAGACAGACAGACAGACAGATAGACAGACAGATAGAACGACAGAACGACAGACAGACAGATAGCTTGACAGACAGACAGACAGACAGACAGATAGACAGATAGATAGACAGACAGATAGAACGATAGAACGACAGAGAGACAGACAGACAGACAGACAGACAGACAGACAGATAGATATAGAGAGATAGATAGACTGATAGCTTGACAGACAGATAGATAGCTTGACAGACAGATAGATAGATAGACAGACTGATAGATAGATAGATAGATAGATAGATAGATAGATAGATAGATAGACTGATAGATAGATAGATAGATAGATAGACAGACAGACAGACAGATAGCTTGACAGACAGACAGACTGACAGACAGATAGCTTGACAGACAGACAGACAGACAGATAGACAGATAGATAGACTGACAGACAGATAGCTTGACAGACAGACAGACAGACAGACAGACAGATAGCTTGACAGACAGAGACTGACAGACAGATAGCTTGACAGACAGACAGACAGACAGACACAGATAGCTTGACAGACAGACAGACAGATAGATAGATGATAGAATGATAGACAGATAGATAAAAAGAAGAGAAATAGATAAATAAATAAGACAAATAAATAATTTAATATGAAGATAAAGTAAATAAACCAAAATGAAGATAAAAATAAATGAATAAATAAGAGAAACAAATAAATTATTATGAACAGAAATAAATAAATAAAAAGAAATACATTTATGAAGAGAAATAAAACAGATAGATAAATAAATAAATAAATTTTTAACGTGAGCATCTTGTGAACATCATCTTTAATGTGTTAAACAAAGGAAATTAATCAGGTGTAAGGCTGTAAGTATAATGATGACAGGATTTTCGTTTGTGGCTGAATGAATGAGTTAAACAGCAGCAGAAGTAAATCATCACAGTGTTTCTATATGAATAACCACAGAGTGTCGAGTGAAACCTGGTAACAGCGCGGTAAAGACACGATGGTGCTCTGGAGGTCTGCCGGCCGCAGGTTGATGACGCGCTGCTCCTGTCCCTGATTCACGAAGTGCAGCTGGAGAGTCACCAGTTTGGCCAGTTTGACACATTTCACAGCCAGACGCACACAAGAGTCCTGAAACACACACACACACACACACACACACACACACATTACTATCAGGTCTCATCTTAAAGGCTCTTTCTGATCATTGTAAGTCTTCCCTGAATTCACACAAAGTTTCTTTCTGATGAATGATGCCCAATAAAACTAGGAACGTTAATAGAGGAACGTAAACAAGAAACAGAGTCATTTTAATGTCATGTTGATTTGAAAGCATTTAAAGCAGTGGTTCGCAACATGCCGACTTCCAAAGCAACCTTAAGATGACTAAAAATGATTTCAATTAAGACAAAACAAATTTAATTAGAATTAATATAATTTAATTAGATTCTAATTTAAACTAATTAAAAATGGGTAGTGAAAATGAAGTATACAACAGTAACGCAGTTATTATGACAGTACATTACATGAAACAAACAATGAAACAAAGTGAAAAATATAAAATAATTTAAATAAATAAGCTAGAACAACTAAAAATCATTAAAAAATATTTCTAATTGTAATTTCCCCCCTCAACAAATATTTGAAAATCATTGGAAATTTTTGAAAAAAAAAAAAAAAAAAAACATAAAATAAAATATAAAATAAATTAATAAAATAGAACAACTCAATATCAAGATATTTCTAATTTTAAATACCCCCCCCAACAACTGTTAAATCATGAACGACTGGAAAAGTTTGAAAATAAACAAGAAAATAAATAAGTCAGAAGAGAATATAAATAAATATAAAAATAAATAAGATAAATACATTTATTAACCGATACCATGTTTATTTTCAAGGCGTGAAAGCAGCTTAAAATGCAAGAAATTAATATGAAGAGAAATAGATAAATAAAAAAGAAAAATAAATATGAAGAGAAATAAACAAACTAATAAATATGAAGAAAAAAAAATAAAGAGAAATCAATAAATTAATAATAAATACAAAGAGAAATAAAATAAAACAAACACATAAAAAAAGGGTTTTTAAGGTTTATCTATGACAAAAAAAAAAATCAAAACGTAAATCTGGCCTCACTTCATTAAAAATCTCTTTATATGAATCATGCGAATAGGAAATTAAATGAAATACCTTCGAGTAGCTCTCAGCTGCGTCTTTCAGTAAAGTCAGGACCTTCACAAGAGCGTTCTTCAGATCTGCAGTGATCGCTGCTCACCACAACGCAAAAACATCATTAGAGACGCACAGAAACATCTAACTCCAGTCTTTCAATTAAAAACAAGTCAAATTATCATATTACAATCCATTTAATGAAGCAATAAGCAATACACACAACCGTTCTCATTGTATCTGATACAGTTTTGCAGTGTTTTCTCACCCCAGGGCTGTGATTCGATGATTTTGAGCTGCGTTCGCGCCGCTGCCTCGTGGTTTTCTCCGATCTCTCGGCGCATGCTGAAACACAGAGCCACCATGTTGTGCTTCTCGCTGTCACCCGGCAGACAACGCTTGATGTAGTCCAACAGAGAATTTAATATAAACTCAGAATTCTGTCAATTTTTTTGACTTTGAAAAAAAGTCAAAATTGTGAAAAAAGTCAAAATTCTGACCTTTTTCCTCGCAATTCTGAGATTATATCTCACAATTGTTTTTTGTTTCCGCCACAGAATAAAAAAATTAAAAAAGGTAACTGACTTTTCATCTCACAATTCTGACTTTTCTTCTTTTTAGAATTGCGAGTTTATTTCTATAATTTTGAGATTTGAATTGCGAGAAATAGTCAGAATTGTAAGATAAAAAGTTACCTTTTTATATTTTACTGCCCCTTGGTGGAAACTATCCTGTACATTTTCACCATTTCTGTATTTTGTATGAGATGCATTGACACTCGATCTCTCACCGACTCGACCTTCTTCCTCAGCAGCATCTCGAAGCGATGGTTCTGATGGAGCAGGTCAAAGACGTACGTCATTTCATTGTACCTGCCGATACCTGTGAGGAGACGCACCTGTAGAGAGAGGAACACTAATGATCTTCCAGGCTTTTGACCGATTCAGAGGTTTCCTGGCCTTCATGAACTCACCAGGAGTCCGTAGCCGTCGCCGTGAGCCAGGTGTGTGTGACTCAGGTGTCTGGCTGCCTGCAGGACCCTCACGATTCCCTCCATGTTACAGGTGAGACTGAAGCAGTCATGAGCCAAAATCAAGATCTCCACAGCTGCACACAGACAGACGATTAACATTCACATTTATATTTATACTTTCACACGGACATTTACTTTGCCTAAGCATTCGCAGTTTAACTTCATATAATGTGAGCAGAATGGTAATAAACTGAAGTACACTAATAACAAAGGGATTCAGAGAAAAACTACACTAAAGCAAAAACTACATTAAATTACACGCAGTATTACATTACATATTATTACATATACAATAGTATAAAAACAAACAATAAATAAATAAAAAACAAAAATGGGAGGAGAAAACTAACTATACTACAGTAAAAACAAAATCAAGTGACATTACTGAATAAAATAAATAATAAATTAAATAATAAAACAATATAAAACAATCATATAAAAAAAAAGTAAACTGATCAAAAATGGGAATAGAAAACTATATAAAATCTACGGTAATATAAAAATCAAATTACATGAATAAAGTAAAAACAAAACAAAAAAAAACAATAAAATAAAATAATATAAAATAATAAAGAATAAAAAATATATAATATAATTAAAAATGGGATACGAACACTATAACAGTAAAACAGTAAAAAACAAAATCAAGTTATGTGAGTAAGTACATTACAGAATAAAATACAAAAATGTAATAAATAAAAAACAAAACAATAAAATAATATAAAACAATAATACAAAAAATAGTAACTAAACTAATCAAAAACTGGATTACAAAAACTACAACTACAGTAATCAAATTACATGACAGTACAATACAGAATAAAATAAAAATAAAATAATATAAAAAAACAACAACAACAACAAAAAAAACTATAAACTAATCAAAATGGTAAGAAAAAAAATGCAATTATTGTTAACTACCGTAAAAAAAAAAAAAAAAATTTAACTGACGGTACATTACACACAAACAAACAAACAAAAAGAATAAAATCTAAACTAATCACAAATGGGAAGAGAGATCTCTGTCAGTGTCCCTGTAGAGAGCAGAGCATTGTGGGTAAGAGTGATTGAGTGCAGTGGTTGGTACTCACTGCAGCTGAGCTCTGACCGCGGGACGGTCGGGATGCTGTCCATCAGTTTGGTGCCGACCAGGTTTGGGTCTCCACACAGTTTGGCCAGCTGGAGGAACGTGTCTCTCCCGTCGGCTGGGCCGTACATCAGCCGCTCTCCTGAACACACACACATTACTCACACACTCGTAGCAGCCACCGTAGAGGCATTTATATTGTTACAAGACATTTCTATTACAAATCTATGCTGTCTATTCATTAAAGAATCCTGAAAAACGTAATGTCTATCAGTTTCCACAAAAATATGAAGCAGCACAACTGTTTTCAACATTGATAATAATCAGAAATGTTTCTTGAGCAGCAAATCAGCATATTAGAATGATTTCTGAAGATCACGTGACACTGAAGACTGGAGTAATGATGCTGAAAATACAGCTTTGATCACAGGAATAAATTACATTTTACAGTGTATTCACATAGAAAACAGCTATTTGAAATTGCAATAATATTTCACAAATTTACTGTTTTTTTGATGAAATAAATGCAGCCCTGATGAGCAGAAGAAACTTCTTTCAAAATCAATAAATAAAATAAAAATCTTACCAAACCCAAACTTTTGAACAGTAATGCATGTATTTGTATGAAAGTATCAAAAAGTTTTAATAATGAAAAATTACAATGTACTTAAATTTAAAACCACAAAAATATGTTCATAACATACATAAACATGCACTGAAATAAAATAAAATATAAAAAATTAAAACAAGTAAAACTAAAAACTAAAACTTAATAAAAACTATATAGACATTTTAAAAAACAACAACAAACAAAAACCCAACAAAATTACTAAAACCTTAAAATTAAAATTAAAATAAAACTAAAACTATAAACATAAAATGAAAATGAAAACAGAAAATAGAAAACTTAAATTAAAATTAAAATAGAAAATGGAAAAACAATTAAAACAAAAGAATAAATTAAAACAGAAAATATTTGTGAAAAATTTAAATGCAAACAGAAATTATAAAATTAAAAAGAAAACAAAATACAAATTTAAAATGAAAACAGAAAATGTAAAAATTAAATTAAAATGAAAACAGAAAATATAAATAAAAAATGAAAACAAATAAAACAAGTCTAATTCAAAATATTAACAAAAATATAACAGTATCAAATGATACTAAAATAAATACAGCTTATGAGAAAATTTTTTTTCTAATAAATCAGATGCCCTTCTACTCTTTTTAGGGTCATCATACTTATAAAAAGAACTATAACCGCAATAATCCCTGAAGAAATGAAGCTGATTTCTCACCGGTTTCTCCCTCCTGAGCCGAGGCGAGCAAACCCTCCAGCACAGCGGTGGAGACGAGCCGGGCGACGGCGTCGGGCTGCAGGCCCTGCACACTGATGAAGGCCTGAGCGCGCTTATAGCGGTCGACCTGCTGCGAGAGCAGGACCTTCCTCAGAACAGCCTCGGGCTCCTCCGAAGAGATCTCAGCGAACGAGCACTGCAGCTCCTGCACACAGACACCAGCGTCACGCTTCACACACATTCACAGACTCACGCGGTATTTGTGACACTGGACCACAGAACCAGAAGCTGAATAAATAAGCTTTCCATTGATGTATGGTTTGTTAGGATAGGACAATATTTGGCTGAGATACAACTATTTGAAAATCTGGAATCTGAGGGTGCAAAAAAATCTAATTGAGAAAATCGCCTTTAAAGTTGTTCAAATGAAGTTCTTAGCAATGCATATTACTAATCAAAAATTAAGTTTTGATATATTTACGGTAGGAAATTTACAAAATATATT